CATAGATCGCCATCAACTAACCTCGACAACTGTTTAAAATACATTGACACACTTCTCTCAACATACTCAAAAAAGAAGAAGGATATTGTATTTATGGGCGACCTAAACGTAAACCTGCTTTAACCTAGATCGTGACATGTCTAAGGCCTTTGACACAGTGGCTCATTATCTATTTGTGAATAAGCTTTATTGCTATAACCTTGATGCTGTTTTAGTTGGGTTTTTTCAATCTTATCTTAGTGACAGATGGCAAAAAGTCTATCTAAATGGCACTTATTCTAGCCCTGTTCGAGTGCCCCAAGGCTCTATATTGGGCCCTACCCTGTTTATACTGTATATAAATTACTTACCTTGTAATATTAATGACTTATCTGTAAAAAGCTTTCTTTTTGCTGATGACTTGGCCTTGTGTGTACTGGGTAACTCTTTGAATGACGTTACAGACACATTGGACACAAAATCTGCTGTTATTGGTGTAATGCAAACAAGTTATGTCTTAATGCTGATAAGACTCAGGACCTGACTATTAGTCTTAGCAATAACAGTAATGATGTAAACACTCTAAAGTTTTTGGGTTTTTATTTGCAGTCAAACTTGAAGTGGTTTTCGCATGTAGATTTTGTAGCATCTAAAATTGTAAAAGGCATATTTGTGATAAGAGCACTTATAGGTCCACTGTTTCAGATGATGTCCTTATTTGTATATATTATGGCCACATTCATAGCTATTTGTCCTATGGTACCTCACTGTGGGCCAACAGTTTTTATGCTAACAGGTTGCTTTTTACTTTACAAAAGAAGGTGGTGAGGTTAATTTGTAGTATGAATAGAAGAACACATTGTAAGCCCCTTTTCTTGGGTCTTAACATTCTCACATTTCCATCCTTGTATGTTTTGGCAAGTTTGTTGTATGTAAAAGAAAACATTTCTCACTTTGAAAAGATATCTGATGTTCACTACTATTGTACTATATCTAAAGATAGGTAATCTGTCTACACTAAGGCATAAGTATACAGCCACTCAAAATAGTTATGAGTACCAAGGTGTTAAAATTTACAATTTCTTGCCTGCATCCATCAAAAACCTGTGTGTTTCAAAATTTAAACATGTTTTAAAAACTACTCTAACCCAGGCTTGCCTGTATAAACATGAAGAGTACTTTGGTTTAGAGTTTTAGTTTTAGTTATTTTGGTTGCTATCTTGAGTGTTTTGTTTTTCTTTTGAGGATTGTCATCAACTTTGTACTTAGTTTTAACACAATAAAGCATTTCATTTCATTTCAACCTCAAGAAACCGACACCATCAAACTTAAACATTTTCTACTGGAACACAACCCAGAAGCTGGAGTTGTGGAGACATCCCCTATACAAGAATCAAGAATAACCCCCACCTCAATCAGTGATGAGCCCAAACCCAAACCACCCAAACCTGAGGATGTGCCAGTAGAAGGCACGAAACAGCTGTAGTTTCTTAAATCTACCGTGGATCGGAGACAGAAGCCAGGTAACATAAACCTTATTAGTGCTATTTTAACGATCCAGTGGCAACTATCATGAAAGAGGAAGATGAAAAAATATATGCAACTCTCAAAAAAACATATGATGAAAACATTAAACAAAAAAATTTGAGCACACCATTGTAACAATTTCAGATGCCTCCAACAAAAATAAGACCATATGGAAAACAATAAGGAGAGAACGGAAAAATAAAGAGCACAAAAATCCACATATGACCACAACATAAATGGAAAACCTACTACTGATCCGAACAAAATCACTAATAGCCTCAATTCATTCTTTGTCAGTGTTGGCAGCAACCACCACTCACAAACCCAAGTAACACAACAACAGCACAGAAAACCGACCAGAGACAACAGGGAAACAATAAGCCTCACACACTTCAAAACAATATCAAGAAAGGATCTGGAGCAAATTTTCAAACACCTACCCCCCAAAACTTCATCAGGCCTGGACGAAATCTCAAATAAGATAATAAAACATTGCCAAGACAAACTGATTATACCCCTTCTAGATATCATAAACACATCAATTAGTCAACAGTGCCTCAAGCGATGAAACAAGCTTTGGTCTACCCCAAATACAAAAAAGGAGATACAGAGAACAACTTGTAGAAATAGAATACCACTCAAAAGACATCAAAACAAAATCAAGATCCAAACTTAAAAAAAAACCATCACCGGAATTCCCCAAGGGTCGGTCCTTGGGCCTCTCTTTTTTCTTATATACATAAACGCTCTTCCAACACTCCTTCCTGAGGATCACACCTGCATCATGTTCGCAGATGACACAACCATCATCGTCCCTGACACACCAACTGAAAAAAAAATAGATGAAACAATACAAACCGCTAGTGGCATCTGCCAAGACATCAACCTAACCATAAATAAATCTAAAACAGTCCACATTAAATTCACAACCAACACTAGAACAGACTCAGACACAAAATCTACCGAATTCCTCGGGATAATACTGGATGAAAACCTAAACTGGCAACCATACCTTGAGAACCTCCATAGGAAACTATCAACGGCCCTGTTTGCCCTGAGAAGAATCAGAGAGATCACTACCTAATACAACAACTACCAAAATGGCATACCATGCGCTTTTTGCATCCCACTTGAAATTTGGAAATATAGCTTGGGGAGGAGCTGGCGAAACACACTTGACACAAATTTTCATGCTTTTGAAAAAGGCATACTACTAATAGACAAGGCTCACTACCAAGCCCATTTGTAAGCCGCTCTTCATTTAACACCATATCCTGACCCTGACACACAAACATACATTCATCTCACATACATCCTGGACACCATAATCCACACCAAACTAAATCCGTCCCCATCCCGACATGAATGCCACAAATACAATGACAGATCAGGGAACAATTTAAACCTTCAACAGCATCGACTCCAAAAAACAAGCAAAACACCCTCATACATGGGAATAAAATTGTTCAACCCACTCCCAGAAAATATCAAAACCATAAACAACAATAAAAAATTTGCTAAAACCCTCAAAACCTTCCTGTTAAATAGACCTTACTATAACCTGAATGAATTTTATGAGGAGCATAAGTATCACAACAGAAACTAAACACAACCTAAGACACCTAACAACACCATTTACACACTTACACGCACACACAAAATACAACTTCCCACATCAAAAGAACTGGCGACTCCCCAGTCTCAACGATTGTGAAGAGGAGGACCCATGGTAAATGGTAAAATGGTAAATACTTTTGACTTTGGCTTCCCCCTTGTCTCTAGAACATCCAGATCCAAGAATGATGAAGGTGTAATTAGGTAGAGGTGTTCTTTCTACTGAGAATTGGTACACCACTGGACTTGCCAAACAAATTTTAAAAAGTTTAAGAACCTAATTTTAGTTATTGATGACTGATTCAAATGCATACCCCATCTACTGCTCTTTTAGGCTGAGAAGGGTAATATGACAAGGTAAAGGAGGCCAAGTAGGCCTCCTCCACAACTATACAAAAATAGCTGTTTTATTCAGAGAGTCAAACTACGTCTGGCAGAGAGACTGGCTATGCAATGCTGCATCGAGAGGTTGAAGAAGCTACTACCGTACATATGGGACACCATGATTGAGCCACCCAGACATTCAAAGACAAGCAGAGGACTGAGAGCCAAGTGTATAGGAAGAATCTTGCTGGAGAACATGAAGACTTGGAGCACTCAGGCACATCAAATCTGGACTCAGGGATACGTATTCAAGCTGGTCCGTCTCAATAGGATTGCTTAACAATTGTCTTGGCCTCAGGGCAAGTGAGATTTGTAAATGGCACTGTACTTTGTATCATAAATAGGTATGAGAGAAATAATACATAAAGGTTATGCGAGTGTCAGTCAAAGTGAGATTCCTGAAAACCCTCGAAAAAGTATGAATACAGGGAATAAGATAATACAGTAGTTGAGAAAATACCTTACAAACCTGTTTGACTATGCTGTATGTTTGCATTGCTATTGCTAATACTAAAGGCACATTGTATTATATTATTGGGTCATTGTCATTATACTTATTGCTAGTTTGGTTTTCATTATGATTTTTTTCATACTAATTTGACTTTGGATTGAACGTAGCAATTTTCTGTCCAGGGTTAAATGTAGGTTTTTGGACCTAGCCTACCAAATGCTGTTTTGCCCTTAAAATGAAGTAGGAAAGGTATTTAATAATCTTGACAGTTTTCAGTGATAATAAATTTAATGACTATAAAAATTAATTCACTATTTCATAAAATATAAATATCACTTAAGTACTTAAACGGACACTCTTTTGTTAAGATGATAAGTGGAAGGACAACGTTGTTGAGAGTCTTTATAAGAACTATCATTAGGCATACAAGGTGTCAGGTAGCACTTCATTTGAAGGTTGTCATCAGTTTCCATGTCTCGTATGTTTTAATTAATGAACTCTGTTGACGACCTTCAACGGATGTTCGATATGGTAAACCTCAGCCAATTCAAAGGGTGGTCCCACTGTACAAAAGATCCAGATACACATCTTGGATCAAACACAGATCTCCAGACTGCCAATCTATTCGGAAACTTGAGCGCTACTTAGCAAATAGTACCATGGATTAAACATACTCTGTTAGTAGATTTCTCATCCTTATGGAACAGCTGAAGACAATTTTATTGTTAGTTCTGCACAGTGTGCTGTAGAGGTCTTACTATTTGTTTCTAGTTATTTCAGTAACTTAAAACCTCGTTTAACCAAATAATACGATCGAATCATAAACAACAACTCGTTCTCTAGTTATATAACCTAACAAAGCACAAATCAAGAAATCAACCCTAAAATAATAGATACAAAATTTTGCCGACACTAGCGCCTCCGTACATGAACTAGGCACGAAAAACAAGCTTCAAAATTTACAATGGGATGAGGAGTCTACTTGTGCTGGTTAGTCTATGATAGTACTTTAACCTAACATATTCAATTCTTACTTTACATTTCAAAAAACAGTATGTCACATTTTTTCAATAAAAACAACTAAAAAAGCAGTAGAACAGTTTACAGCAAATCCATGATAGTAACAATAAACCACTGAGCCCCTTCACACAAGCCAATTGGAGCTTTGGAGTCCGATTTCACAGATCTTGTCAATCATCCCTTATCCAGTGGAGTCTCTGCTTTCAAACTCTACTGTCAGCACAAACCTTACTTTTGGAATTTACAAGTTTAGCGCTTGACACATGGCTTGGGATAGAGCCTCGACTGTTGTAGTTGGCTGGTCAACTTCTCTGTTTGTACATTCCTTCACATGGACAGTTATCCTGCTACACAACTAGCTATTTTGAATTGATCATCAGTGCCTGTAAACAAGACATAAATACTAAAATTACAGTACTAAACATATCTTCATGCTGGTTTCATATTTCACTGACTGTACTAAAGATTCTGAAAACAAAACCTTTTCTTTGTAATATAAACAGCTTACTTACAAAGCCGTTCACAATAATTCATCTTATTGGACGAATCTGTAACCATTCCATCAAATAACTTTGTTTGACAATGAGGGTCGTTTTTAAGCATGGGTTATTTTATTGCATGGCTCCGTAGTTTGTATGTACACCACAATGATGTACTTACTGGCATTACTGGAGATAAGGACAGTGATATGTTTTTTGATCGCAAGAAACATATAGAAAATGTCCATATTTAAGAAGGAATTCTGTTTTTTGTGGTTACCCAGATTTAAAAGGAAAAAGGAAAAAGTTTTTCAGAGCCTTTTTACACACCCTAACCCATTTTTGTACTTAACACTCACTCATTGCATTAGGGCTATAACCTTCAGTCATCTATGGCAATGAATGTAGGCATCGAATACGTTTCTTGGGGTAAAAGACGTATCACTGACGTTATCTCGCATGTGGCAGGAGATTCAATTATTTAAAAAATCTCCTGTCTTAGTTAAAAAACGACCCTCGTATATGTGAATTTTTTATAAGTTTGTTGAATATGTATACTTTGGATGTTCTTAAACTCAGCTAAAGTTACAGTGGCTACTGTATTGTAACTGTCACAACTTTATACAGTATGAGTTCATTTGAATAGCTGGCTGGGATTTATATTAAAAATACAACTTTTAGAAAAAATTTTTCCTAAAAGGTATAAGCTATTACTGTAAACCTCAAGGCAAAATCAGATCCTGAACTAATTTACTTTTTGTTTTGATGTTCCTAGAGGCCCAAAGCACGATGTTTCAAATTTTGGTTGTATATTATAGTCATACTATAAAGAAGCTAAAACCTACCACTCGAGTAAAAATGGCCCAAATTTTGATGAAAATTGGTACAAACATGTAGAACAATATTTTAAACGAGTTCGGGATCATTGTATCTTGGGAACAAGGTTTTAAGGAGTAAAATTGGTATAAAAATATAACATAAAAATTGTTGTCAATTTCTTTTAAAACAGTTTTTTAGAGCTTAAAAAACAAATAATTTAGTACATCAAAGCATATTGTGCGTTTCATGGTTACGTAGAAAAAAAGACAGCATTTTAAATTCCTGTGTTATTTTTGTAAATAAATGTTTATTGAGTACATTTTTGTAGTTGCTCATAAATGGATTCATTTTGATCAAATTTGGAAAATTTATTAATTTAAATACGGGTGTTTTTAAGAGAATGCCGGGATTTCAAACGGTCGTTGCTCGTCGACTATTCAAGATAATTAAACGATTTAGACGTCAAATTGAAGGTAAAAGAATAAAGTTTATTTCTCAGTCTTTCATACAATTCGGAATGATTTAATAAAATTCATATATTCATAAATCTATACTATTATAAAAAAGAGGTGGTTGCTGTATGTGTGTATGGGAAAAGTAAACTCGAAAAATACTGGTCGGATTGGGCTGAAATTTGGCATGATGATAGCTCACATTCCCGATTAACATATAGGCATATTCTTATTTCAAAAATCCTTTCGGGCTCCGCCCCAGTGGCTCTGGAGTTTCCCATGTTAACCTTATGAGAAATGGAATTATTGAATCTTAACAGCTGTTTCAATTAAACAAGTTGGTTCTGTTCTATGATGTTCAATAGCATTAAAGTTACAAGGATTACCAACAGGGTGCAGCACTATTATTTCTTTTACATTTATGACAACAGCTAATTTGCAACCAAAAGGTGAGTGAGCGTAGCGAACGAACTTCAACCTGGAGGCGAGTTAGCGTAGCGAACGAGCTAACCTGAAGGCAAGTGAGCGCAGCGAACAAGCTCCAACCTAAAGGTGAGTGAGCGTAGCGAACGAGCTCCAACCTAAAGGTGAGTGAGCGTAGCGAACGAGCTCCAACCTAAAGGTGAGTGAGCGTAGCGAACAAACTTCAACCAGGACGTGATTGAGCCATGCGAACGAGATAATCTTGAAAATTAAGAAGTTAAACGGGGCAAAGCCCGCGGGTTACAGCTAGTCTTATATAAGAGTAAAACTGGTAAAGTCTGTAGGCTACGCTAAGGGCGATCGGTGGGTTTATTATGTCTTAACTGAATCTTTTTCGGCACAAAGACTTTATCTTTTATATATAACATCATAAAGTGACCAATTTAGGTTTGTTAAACTGAAGATTTCGTTGGACAATCGATTTTTTCGGGCTTCTGATGCAGAATTGTAGGATTTCTTCGACTATGTCATCGCTTGTTTTTAGCCGGCCAGGTGAATGTCTTTTCAAAACATTTCGGAGCCACGAAACTCATTAAACCAGTTTCAAGTTTCTTCATCATCAAGTATATTTAAATTTAGTTTAATTGAACAATGTATATACACTCTGTGAACTACAGAATACAATCCTTCTGTTGCGCCGTAAACGTCGTACTGGCGACTGGCGTCAGGCCTATGAGTCACAATAGCGGCCTATCAACCCGCAACTGTTTCACGCATGCCAAGGTCAAAGTTTCCTCCATTGCTACACGGGATACAAAACTTAAGTATTTTAGCTCCAATTTGACGTATAAAACGTTTAGTTACCTTGAATAGTATCCAAGAAATTACCATTTAAAATCCCGGCATTCTTTTAAAAACACCCTGTACTTAGCTATTAACACTTAACTAAAGCCCTGTTTTATCAACTTCCCTGCAGCAGCAAACCTAACTCACTAAACCTAATCTTATTTAAATAGGGAATAAATCTGAAATGTTGATACAATATTTGAGTAAAAAACTAATCAGTTATTCTAAATGGAAATTTGCTAAGTCTCCAGGTCTACTTTACTATTTTATACTTAATTTACACTTTTTGGTATGCCTTCACTGCCTACAAACTCAACAACAATTATTATTCCTGGTACCACATATTAAAGAGATCAAATTGTTCAAGTACTTAAGTTTACTAGGTAAATTTAAAGATTATTGTTGGTTTTTCTTAAATGTTTTACTTGTCTCTCAAGAATAAACAAAACAAAGAAACCAAGACATACCTCACTTCAGCCTAAGGGGCCGAGGTTCCAGATGCGTTATGAGGCGACATTGTCTTTTGAGTTTTGTTCTTCAATCTCTTTCAGTCGTAGGTACGTCAGCAAAGATGCCTGTAATACAATATTAAGACTTTCAGTTTTTGTTACTGGGAAATGAAAATGACCTTTTTCTTCCCATTTACAAGTACATCCAACATACAGTTATACAGTTGTAATGGTCAAATTGTGTTAGGGGTAAATTTTTTATTTTATATACACGAACGATTCGAGCGCGGCGATTCGTCACGACGGCAACAATGATCCACTTGTTCAGTGTCTTACATAGTTTGAGACTCGGCCGCTGCCACCTTGAAGCGCTGCCGTAGACGTGGTGGGGAGAAGCCGAGACCGGTCGGTGGACAGTGGACATTTCTTGAGACAGTTGATGGCGAGCGCTTGTTCGCCAAACACCCTCCTTCAAGAGCGGGCAGTCGGCGGCGAGCGATAAGTTCGCGCACACCAACCCTCCTTAGGCTGTGCGAGCGAACCTAATAAAGTATCCGGACGAAGGCGTGAGAAACCTCGATGCGAATCTGGAAGTATCGTGTGTTACGTAAGTACACTGTATATAGCTAGCGTATACGTTGTATCCCTCCTCGTATCCACTTTGGCGAGGGAAATTACGTTATTTATTAGGCTATTCTAGGCCGTTTATCGAAGTTTATTATAGAATATCGTAGTTTATCGACCGACGCTGCGAGTGTAGTGTCGCAGTAGCCTACGCCTTCTTTTAGGCATCCAAAGCGGTTTGTTTCATTTCAGATCAAGAGCTTTTATTTATTTTCCTTAAAGCCTAGAAGGATTGGCATATAAGCCTTCTACGTTTTATTTTATTTCATTATTTACTTATCGCGAGTTAGCGTAGTTTTCTTTTAATTACGAGAAGATTATTTTAGTTTTATTTTGAGAAGTGATTCCTTTCGTTAAGCCTAGGAGCTGGCTCTCTATATTATTTCCTAATCTTCGCCTATTTATCTATCGGCCCCTAGTAGTTAGCTGCGACTTGGTTTTTGTCAGTGCGTTGCTGTGCTGATGATACCAAGTTATAGTAGTAACTATAGTTTGTATTCACGAGGACCGGGAGCAGTGAGCGAGCGACGAAGGCTGTTAGCGAGACCCTGGACTACTCGAGCTGTCCGAGCAAATCGGAGGTAAGTTTAGGATAGGTGCCCCTACCCGACATAAACACCTCACACAGTACACACCCTCTTAACTGATCTTCACAGGACAAAGCCAAGGTCGAATAGTCTCAAAGGTCAGTTACTATTTAAATGAAACAAATGTATATTATGTATAATGAAAACTCAGATTCATGATAAATTATTATTTGCTTAGTATTGTAGTAGGTTGTATACGATTTCTTCTTGAATAACGATGAATGGTTATTTTCAAAACAGAACGGTTATGAAACAAGAATTTCATGGTTATGTGAGCTGTTGCATAGCAACCAACTTACTGTACTATGTATAAAATCCATCCGTCTATAAAAACACTGCACACTTACTTTTAAAAATAGGAAAACTTTTGTAAGAAAATCATACTCTAAATCTACAAATTTATGGAAAAGTCAGTTTCATATAAAACTAGACCCACAAGGACACGATTCTATTTTATACTGAGATAAAGCGTCGTTTATACCGGGGTTTGGAACCAAATGTTTGGAACTTTTTGTTGGTAACACTTGTTTCTAACAATTCGTTTGTAACTAAAGTTTACAACGGATAGTGCACTTTTCTTTGATTTTGTTGGGAACAATTTAATCACCGTTCCCGAGAACACAGCTGACGCTGAGGGGGCGACATGTGGTTAACTGGTGGTGGGTAGGCACGTGTGGTAGCGGGAAGTGTTGGAAACAGCTTAGAAATATCAAAAGATTTGTTTCGTAACAAATGTTTCCTCATCTTTGGAACACTCTTTAATTTACCGACTTCTGGTGGGAAACAAATTTTTTGTAGTAAACACTAAAAAAATGTTCCTAACATCAAAATGTTTTTTTTTATTAGTGTTTCTTTTTGGTTTGTTAGGAACATTTGTTGTAAACACGTGTTCTTAACTCTAGTGTAAACGCGGCCAAGGGATGGATATGGTAGTTTTTAGATTCCTTGTTCAAATTAGTTGAACCAATCAGTTTTAAAATTCAGGGGAAATTAACCAACATCTATTTTTACCAGGGAAGAGAAAGTTAATCAGGGTCGGTTAACAGGGGATGCATCTATATATTAATACGCAAGCAATTTTCTTTTCACAGTCATAACTCGATAACAGTTTCAGAACAGTGGTGGTGCTATCCGTTGTCATTGGATCAAACTTAATTTACTTTGTTTACAACTAAACATATGGACATCGTTTGACATAGGTTAATCACAGACTGCAGGACTTGTTACTTCCAGAGTAACGTCGGAATTATTTATATTTGTATTTTTAAATCTGTTTATGAAGTTATTTGCAATAGTTAAATTGATTTACATTCTAGATCGTATTTTACTGAATTATCACATAGTTTTGGTTACAGTTCGGTATAATGAAGTGAATGTTTAAAAGTGCTTATTCGCAATGCATTTACCCTTACTTTACCATTTTATCATGTAATTTACAATGTGTATCATTATGTCTTTGTATTATTATGCCACCTAAGACAAAGAATTGCGAGTGGCGGGAGGGAACGTGAACGTGACCGCTTGCAACACCCTCCCAATGGAACATTTTGATGGATACAGAGCGGCAGTACTAGACCGTCGTGGTGCTACATCTAACCTCGGACAAAAGAAAGTTTAATGTTAATATGGTGATGCCTTTCATTTTAAGCAAGAAAATATTGGCTAAGACAGTTAATTTTTTTACTTTTTGTTGCCATAAAGGAAAGGTTCATTTACCTCATTTGTGGAATTCACTATACTTTCAGGAACTTATTGGAAACTCAATTATTGCCATTCTTCAAACTTATTGTCATTCATCCCAATCTAAAAACAGGGCTGCAAGACCTTAGATTCGTAAATTATTTGGATAAAATTTGTCAATTAAATTCCACCTTTGTCATGGTCAGCTCCGAAGCTCATTTAGATGAGACTACCACAAATCGGATCTACAATTTGAAGATCCATGACATGTTTTCGGGCGGAAAACACTTTTACTATGTGTCGTCTTTCAATAAAATGCTGCAAGTTCTTACACATTCATCGTAGACCACTATTGTAGAAAACTGGGTAAAATCATTCACGCAGTGGTCAATTTTAAGCATAATGAAATTCAAATGAACAACAAACTTGCATGCTTTACAAGTAGAAGTGGACTTGGTAATTTCCCCCAGAAACTTGGTGATGTGTCTTTACCTATTCACAATGATCTTGGTCCACATATTATTGTGTTACAATATTGAATAATTGTAAGTAGGTCAGTAATTCAGGAAACATATGGTGAAGTTACCTACTTTGAATGGTCGCTATTTCAATGGCAAAAAAGTATTAAAGTATTAAAGATATATTGATTACTTTTGTTTTCCTTCTTTATTCTTTTATGACAAGTTGCGGTTTTGCTCTATTTAGAGCAACATATTATCTAGTTTACTCAGTACTCACATAAGCATCCGTGGCAGCATAGCCCAGCTGATGAGTTGTAAGGGTTTTTTGAGCCCAGTTGCTGGTCCTTACATCAGACTTGTCAAGTTGTTTTTTGAGCTAACAATAAATAACACAATATTATATTGAGTAAAACTTAAAAGATTTTATTTACTAAAATTTCTATTTAAAATAAAAGAATTTTATGAATGAAATTGGTTTTTGAGATTGGTGCATATTCATTTTATTCAAGCTATTCCAAAAATGATTGTTTATTAATTATCTTTTATTAATTATGATATTGAGTGCTTTTAAATTCAGCGAGGGCCGTTAATGTTCAGCTTGTAAAGTTTGAATATAATATAGTCTCACAGATTTATTTTTATGTGTCTATATAGGTACAGTAATTTCCAAGCAGAATGTGAACAATCCATACGTTAGATTTTTATTTGTCGTTAGGCATACAAAATTATGCATTTGACATGGTTTGGATATTAAATAAAAAAATAAATCTTTGTCTAAATTCAAATATGTCTTTAAACTAAATACCAACAAATAGAGCTATTTTGTAAACTAATTTCAAAGTGTTCAGTATTTTAAACATAAATTGTAAGATTTCTGGCAACTAAAATTATGTTCTAAAAATAGTAAAAGACTAAATTTAGACATTTTTGTACACAATAATTGTCATGGTATCACCACATACCATGTGGTACGTACCACATACAGTACAAGTCGATCTAGGCTCCACATTTCTTGAGTAGAGAAGATTTGGTTTGCTAAAGATTTTAATTCAATGACATTACTCTCTACGATGTTGGCGACAGAGATATCAAAATCCCTTCCCAGCTTCCAGATGTCTCTGCAAAAATTATCAGGCACTTTGAGATCATTCAAAATCGAAACTTATAAATTTCTTTTATCTGTTTGGTAACCAAGTTTGAAATATTAATTAAACTGTATAAAGTATGGCCGAACAGTTGTATAACTAATATTTTCTTGATTAAATATAGTAAGATTACTGTTTTAAAAACAAACAAATACAGTTGAACCTCTTATGTGATTGAAGCAAGACATTAAAAATATCAACCAGAAAATTAAAGAATAAAAGTATTCAAATTAATGTGGACTCACGCTTTGATATTAACTCCAACCAATCGCACTTTGGGATGGCTGATGAAGTCGATGAACACTTTAGGTAATTTCTTCCATTCTGTCACCTGTGGAATAATACAATGTTTTTAAAAATAACTGAAACCTTCGAAGTTCATAGCAGATGAGATTTTTTTGTCCTAGGACGCTAGGCACGAGCCCGGGATTGTTTTTCACATTACTTCAGGCTGGACCTAGGGGTTTCGGCATTATCACTTAGAAAAAATCCGTTGGTGATTTGGCGGGATTTGAACCCGGGACCTCAGGCACCAAAGTCCCACGCTCTAACCACTTGACCACAGCTCGATCCCCGCATCGCAGATGAGATAGGAAGATAGGCTACTGACCAAGAGTACCAAGGTGGACTTTTTTTAAAAAAAACTTTAAAAAACTTACTTTTGAAAGACATACAAACATAAGAAACAGGGGTGCTCACTATTACCTTTATCGAGAGGTATTTAAGCAACAATTCTTAACCATGGAGTTTAAACAATTTTTTTTAGTTTTGCATGTTGGTAGTATGGATAGCAAACATTTTCTTGATGTAGAGTATTATTTATGAGGTTGCTAACATTTTATAAAAATCTTTGTGTGACATAAATGACATAAATGGTAATGCTGGGTAATATTTAAAGAAATTACTTTGTAATCTAGTCCTCAGTTCTAGTACAGTGCCTAGGACACAAGGTTATAAGACAGCCCTAGCAGGAAAAATCGTAAAGTGGCGTTTCCTTATAAACTTGTTACACAGTGTCCTTCGTGCTACACGATTACGAGAAACACCTACCCCTTAGAAACTAATGGGACTGTTTTCATAGCGACGCGGTGCCCGACTAACTGCTAACTGTGCAGTGTGATTGGGAGCACTGCTTCAAGAGCAGTCATTTTCAAACCACAATGCTGAACTGGGCAGTTGTTCACGTTAGAAATATGGAGAAAACTATAGTTTGAGTGATGTTATTAAGTTCACTGTAGATGCAACAGTTTATTAATTTACTGTGTGTCTGAGTTTGATGTGCTGTTCTAACTTTGTTGGCTTCCAAGTTATATCACTACGCACCAAGTCCACAAGACAGGAAATACCTAATCCTGATATATGTTAATTTATCATATATCAGAAGCCTATTAATATGAATACTAAAAGCACCCTGATTGCTCCTAAATATAAACATTTCACTAGGATTTTTTTTACTTTTGGTCAGTAGAGCTACTAGACCTATGTCCACATCTTCGTCCATCCCTTCCACTTCAACCATACGTTGAAATTCAACGTGACGTTCAAGTGTTACTAAACTGAGGCGGTTTCAGGACTATGTCCTCTTCAGCCACTTATTTTTCCGATTCAAAACAGAACACTACTATGGGAACCCCAAACATGTTAATTACCCAACATGGTGGTGGATTTCTCGGAAAACACTTCTGCCCTGTGACCTCCTGTTGCTAACTGCCCTGTGTTCTTTAGCTTAATTGTGTAGCACACAGGGGGTTACTGAAGTTGGAGGGAAATGCACCTTGAGTGTAGCAAATAGATAATTATTGTGTGTCAAAAGGTAAATATGAATTTAAACTAATAATAACAAAAATGTACTGAAAATTCAATCATAAAAGGTAATAAATAAACAAAACAGGTCAGACAATATACAGTCTGTTACTAGTACTCAAGATGCCTGGTTAAGCGAGACTGAAGCATGTTAATACAATAGCGGAACCAATGGTGATTGGATATGGTGCAAACAGGAAGACCTGAAAAGGCAAAATGAAAGAGCAATACATAGAATGATTTTGCTGGTTTTGCAATTTTCCGATATTGGGAATAAGCTATCACATTGGTCTAGTGGTAAGATCTCAAACCGGGACTGATTTTTTTTTAACCCAAACCGTTCAAATTTATATGTATGTGTGTCTGTTAGCTTGATAACTGAAGTAAAAATCATCTTATTTTGACAAGAGTTGATACAAATGTTTAAACCTACATTTATTTGAATGAGTTAGCAAACACAAATGATCAGACTGGGAACAGGTTTTATGGGTTAAAAATTGGCTTCTCTCATTTAAGACCCCCAAACCAAAACAAAAAATGTTGCAATTTCTTACTAAACCATTTTATAGATCTTAAAAAAAAAACTAAAAAGGAGTAAGTAAGCTAAATAGTTGTTTCTTTACATCTAATGGTTACAAAGAAAATTTAAAAACCTGTAAATTTAAATTTAAACTTATTATTCTTAAGGAGAATAAATTAACTGTTGTAATTTTCTTGTTTGGGGTGTATTTTGATCAAATGTGGCAAATTTGTTTATTTCATACTTAACGTTTGACATTTCAATTAAGAACACACTTTCCCTGTGGCGACAAAGCTAAAGGCATTCTACAAAATAAAAGGTGACTTAATTAAAATGTTCTTGAAACTGGATAACATAATTAACTTTAAAGCTAAGCACTCATTGAAATTAATGTTATTTATATTGAAAATAAATCTGATAATTTTACGGGGATATTTTATTAAAAATCTAACCAGGCACATAGAAATTCGCTTAGTCTGCAGGTTTGCTACGTTGGGATATTTTTAGCATTGCTTTAAGACTGATAATCAAGGATGTGTTGTTGTTTTCTTTGTACTGGCATGATGCTATAATGGCACAACACTGGTACAATAATAACACACATAACATAGGTAATATAAACCAAACCATTGAGACTTACCTGGAAGATATAACAAACTCCAACGCTGGGACTGAATTGTATAAGGGCAGTTTTGTGCTGACTTTCTCCCTTTGTCCATTGAACAGGCCATTCCAGATCGAACCCCACAACAAGCTCCTTTAAACCCTCAAGTTTCTCTCTGTAAAGTAAACGGTATCAGCAAATCTGACTCGCACTTTCTAATTAGCTTGTCAACCTTTATCATGGGTAAGCGGTGGGAGTAACTATGATATTTTATAGGGGAAGTTACAATAACGTTTGAACCATAGTTTGTATGGCAAAGGGAGTTATACAATTTGATCAGAACTTAAAGGGCTATGTATAACATACTTAAACTTTATCAAAACTGTTCGGGCCATTTTTGAGAAAATTTGATTTCTCTGCTAATTTATGGGTTAAAATTGATTAAATTTGCTAAATCATGACATATTTCCACTAAAACAAATTAGTAGGTAGTAACATCTATAAGGGCTCCCTTCAAGCGTCAATAAAATTTTACCTATGGCATGTTACAAAAGAAGAAAAAGATTGATAATTTGCTCATATATGTATATATAATGATACTGAAAAAAATACTGTAAATGGGTTCAAATAGCTAAATCACTGTAGCTGTTGGTTAGTTATTTTGATTAAAATTATTTTCCATCGGTACCGAACTATAAAGATTGCGAAAATAATAGGTCTACTTACAAAATGGCTTCACAAACATATCCGCAGTCCCCAATTTTGTTTGAATGTCTAACTTTTCCTTTGAATTTCAAGAATGGTCTATCCTCATGTAAAAATGAATCGCTTGGGCTAGCGTTTCTGTCTTTAACCAGTTTTGATGTTGATTTCTGAAAAAACAGTGATAGAATTAATGCCACACAGAATTCCAGCATAACACTTTTAGAAATAGGCCTGGTCTTAAGTTATGAGTACTTTGAATAAACACTACACTAGCCAAAGAAGATTACATCATTAACTAGTCATTCAAACTCCACTAATGAGATAAGAAATACTATGTCTGACAACATCATTCACATTGACAGAAAAGACACCGATTCCTAGACTGTAAACTCACATAGCACACTATTCACTCACACACACACACATGTGACACTCACATAGCACACTTTACAGAGACATAAAATAGTTTTTTTTCCTACAGTCACCCGACAAAGTTGGCTTCCTTGTACTGTTTATAGTACAGAAAGCTGCTAATTGCTGCATATTTATACTTTGCCGTACGGTTTATACTTTGCCGTACGGTTTATACTTTGCCGCACATCAGGATTCCAACGAAACAACACAAAACAGCGTGGTTATATTATGCACGTAATCCGTGTACGCTTGGAAATAGGTTGGCAACACTTAAAGATAATAATACTATGAGCAGCTGATTGACTATTATAACTACGATTTAACCTGTCATTTCGTGTTTATAGTTTCGGTATTTCTGAACTTTCTGGACTTTACTTTTAAACGTTTTTAAAACATTCCTACGATCTTAATAAACAAGAAAATACCTTTAAAGCATTTTTTTAAGGCTCGGAAACCACTTCAAATTAGAAAAACATACGGAACTATATTCTCAAAACGCGGAGCACATTTCTTGCCGAGGAAAAATAGCGGAGTGATACGGACCGCGGGTACTACTTTCTCTAGGGCACCATTTGTGTTGCCAGCTGAACCTAAAAACGTGTTGTATAGTGTTTGAAAGACTAATTATTTATATGCTTTATAGTGACTGTAGGAAAAATATAATGTGTAACACGAGTGAAAAAGGCCTTTGCTGCACTCGAGATCATTCCGCACTCGCCTGCGGCTCGTGCGTAAACATTGCTCTCGTGTGCAGCAAAGTGCCACTTTCACCACTAGTTACACAAATAACTATTTCATTGTATCAAAATTTGTCCTTTGCCCGTAAATTGATTTTTTTGTGTGTAATTAGATGGTTATCATTTTTAATAAACCTCTATTGAGTAATAATAAAGTTGTTCCGATTGTAAATTTCAAAATGGCGGCCGTTTGAATTATTCTAACTTAAATAACTCAAAAACGGCTAATTCTATGAAAAAATGTCAAGAATACTTTTTTTAGCGAATTTCCCATATAGGGAATAAGCTATTACCGTAGTATTCATGGACCTGGATGCGGGACCGATTTTTTTTTTCGTTTTGAGGTCCCTAGAGGCCAAAAACACCATCCGTTCAAATTCATATATATATATTTATATATTTATATATTTATATATTTATATATTTATATATTTATATATTTATATATTTATATATTTATATATTTATATATTTATATATATGTGTGTCCGTTAGCACGATAACTCGAGCAAAAATGATCCGATTTTGATGAAATTTGGTACAAACGTGTAAACCTAGGTTTATTCGAACGAGTTTGCGATCCAGCATGATCTGACCATGGGAACGGGGGTTTACGGGGGGTTTTATGGGGTAAAAATAGGTTTTTCCCATTTTTGACCCAAAAAACATAAAATTTTATTTATTTCTTTCCAAACCATTTTTTAGAGCTTAAAAAAACAAATAATTTAGTAGGTATACTGAAGCGTTATTATGCGCCTAATAGTTGCGGAGAAAATTCCAAAAATTTGTAAATTTAAAATTCCCATGTATTCTTATGGAGAATAAGTAAACTGTTGTAGTTTGCTTGTTTATGAACATATTTTGATCAAATTTGGAAAATGTTTTTATTTCTTACTAACTATTAACATTTTACAAAAAAAAACAGTTTTACCCTCCCTGATGCAGCAAACCTAAGTACTTGTTAAACTAATTCTATTTAAATCTTACTAATATTATAAATGTGAAAGTTTGTGTGTTTGTTTGTTTGTTTGTTTATTTGTTTGTTTGTTTGTTTGTTTGTTTGTTTGAAGTTCAATCACGCATAAACCACTGGACGGATTGGGCTGAAATTTGGCATGATGATAGCTCACATTCCCGATTAACATATAGGCATATTCTTATCTGAAAAATCCTTTCGGGCTCCGCCCCAGTGGTTCTGTAGTTCCCCATGTTAACCTTATGAATATTCATATTTAAAGGGAATTAAAGAATTCAGTCAGCTGTTTCAACTAAAAAAAGTTGGTTCTATCATACACAAAAGCATAAAAAAGTTATAAGATTTCCTAACAGGGTTTAGCACTATAATCTTTTTTTGAATTTATGTAAACAGCTAATTTGAACTAAGCAGCAACAAAAAACTGTGATGCGCAATGAGAACTGTCAAAGTAGGATTGTTTATAGTTATGTTTATGTATTTAATGTCAGGAATAATTTGTGATTTTTTGTGAATTCGTAATATATTCTTTTTCTTTATTGTTTAGGTGAAGTGGTTGAACATTTTGGCTATGGTAGATGTGTAATACCATTAGTATACCGTCAATTTAAAGAAGCAAATTTTATCAAACTTTGTCGTCCCCCATTGCAAACGCAAAGCTTGAGTATAACTGCAATAAGCATTTTAAACTTATATGCCAATCCCGTACGAAGGACGGGTACTCTGCTAGTAGGGAATAAATGTTATATTTTTAAGTAGACATTTCAGTGTAAATCCAATCAGTCAAATGGAAATTCACTTAGTCTGCAGGTTTGCTGCGGCGGGGGTATTTTGCATTTTTAATTGCCTATCAAACAATACCAAGATCAAAAAGATCGGACAAAAAATGTATTGTGTATGTTAACATGTTTACCAAATTTCATAATCATCGAATAAAAAACTTCACAGATAAAAATATTTTTGTATAATAAACAAAAATGGCGGATATCTGGGTAAATACTAAATATACATTTTCGGACATACCTTCCCATAAATTTTTTTCTTCCTTTTAGTATGGGGATTAATTTCCCAAAGTCCTGAAACGTTTTTTATGGATACCCTGTATAACGGTTCTGAAGTTTAAGGTATTGGCTCATTTTAATACAACCTATTAAAATATTAAAATTTCAAAAAGAATTTCATATTATGACAATTTTGGTGCCACGAGTCTCACATGTAAGCCAATCTTCAATCAGTTAGGCTTATTTAGCCCTTCATCTATCTATATTCAGATTGGGAAAAAAGTCTTGGTAAAATTAGATATTTCAAAAAATAAAATAAAGATAGAACTTACATTCTAAAAATGACACATTCTTTCAAATTACTTGGGCTAAACAGGGTGGATAAAAAGTCCCGGAATAGTCAAATATATTTCAATCAATAATAAAGTTAATAATGTTAACACATTACACAGTTATACCACAGAAAACATACTACTATTACCCAGAATGCTCACTGCGTGTTAAACAGCGTTAAGTACTCGGAGAGAGCTTTGCCTGTCAATTCGTAGGCAGCGCCAGCGCCACCAGCATACAATACAACCAGCATTACGAACTGACAGGCAAAGCTCTCTCCGAGTACTTAACGCTGTTTAACATGCAGTGAGCATTCTGGGTAATAGTAGTATGTTTTCTGTGGTTATACGTTACCTGCTTAGGGAGACAGCTCGTTAGGAGTCAGAAGAAACTCTTAAATGTAAACATTGGTTGATATGCACATCAAATTAAAGGTTTTTGGAAGTAAAACACAATACCGCAAATCCAAACTGTCGTTCTACTAAAAAATGACAGCTGTTCATAGATTCCTTGAATTTGCAATGCTATTATGAGTGAAAATTTAAAAAAGTACGTTTTCAGGAAAAGCACTTTGCAAATTTTTTTACTCTTTTTTCAAAACTTTTATTATTTTTTTATTTTATTAACATTTGAAGTTTCATAAAATGTCCACGGTAACGCAATATCTTTGGTAGTTTTTTTTTTTTTTTTTTTTTTTTTTTTTTAAGAGCATCTTTAGTGGAAAAACACAAAATCCTGTCACGACCATAACAGACGTTTAAATGAATATTAAAAATGGTTAATATTATTTTTATAACTATGTTTTGCTATAAACTAATTTACTTTTACGACCATTATACAATAAAAAGGTCACTGAGCTTTTGGTATATTCGGTCTTTCTAGAAAAAAATAAAAAAAACTCAAAAAATTGAAAAAAAGCCAATAAAATCTTTTTAAGTTTGTATAACTCCGAAAAAAACTTACCTGAGACCCGAAAAATCATTATGTTTGTATAGAGGTGTGCTTCTTTTGTGTATAAAACATTGAAATATGACGATATTTTAATGTTTTAAATTTTTATCATAGAAATCATAAACGTGATGGTCAGGGACAATCGGTACGGTCGTGAATTGTCTGGACTAATCTAAATCTTTCTAAACAATCCTTAAATTATACTGTTAGTTATAAAAAAAGTATGTGTTTCAATTGAACTAAACTGTTCAATTTACAATTATATTAAAGTTATTGTCACGACCAAACACACTATAATCCATAAGGCTGGATTGGTCGTGAAAAAACCCGCGATGGTCGTGAAACTTTGGTCGTGAAATTACGTGTTATTTGGCTCTGTTCTGGCGGTAGCCCTGCACCTCATGTTCGAGGATACAAAGTGGACTTCTAGGTTAATCTAGCAATTGAAATATCTTATAAACAAAAATTAACACCATGTCTACTTCATCGAATGACTACGTACGGTCATGGACACCAAAATTACAAAAAACACAATCTTTCCTTTAATAATCTTGTAATTCCTCCTTTCAACTCGAAACGACCGGCACTACAATCCTGACGTACACCCCGAACTAGTCTCTAAAACCCACTGACTCCATCGACGCCAGGCTTGCCACTGTCGTGCTCCAAAGTTGAAAATTTTTCCCAAATGGTCGTGACCGAGCGAAAAATCGAGGGACAGACTTATTTTGTCATGGTAGTCAGTTTGCTATGACAAT